GCATTGAAGGACATGTCCTGGTCAAAAATGACTCCAAGGTTCCTCACAGCGTTACTGGAGGCCAAGGTAATGCCATCCAGAGTAAGAATCTGCTTAGAGACCATATTTCTAGGCTTTTCAGGGCCGAGTACAATAACCTCAGTTTGATCTGAATTGTGAAAGGAGTGAGACAGCTGCACTCTTTGCCCCCAGATAAAGAGGAAGGAGGTACTTACACTCCCGAGGTCTGCAAACAAGCGACGATGTTTCAGACAGATTTGGATCCTCGGTGTAAGAGGGGAGAAGCTGTGGTGTGCTCCGTGGGTGGCACACTTACTGTGGTCACAAAGCAAAGTGCAGCTGGAACAGTCCGTCCGTAAAACTACATGAGTGGGGCCTTTTTCTCCACTGATAAGAGCGCAGCTCTGGGATGTTCACCATGTGAACCTGATGAAATGATGAATCTGAGCACAGTTTGGGTCGTTTTGCTGCTAAAGGGTGTGCAACACTGTGTTAAAGAGCTTCAGTCATTCAGCAGGATCAGTAATGTCTGATTTTCATCATGTGACTGATCCACTCCTTGTTTGCAGGCTCGTATCCACAAGCGCAGAACGTCACCTGGAAATCCACCAATTTTAAAACGGTTCTGGTCTGGGAGCCCAAACCATCCGCGGATTACTCTTACACAGTGGAACTGTCTCCGTAAGTACCATCCACACCTGGCCTCACAGCCCCATCAGTTCAGCTACGGCAGCACGTTTTCATGTATGTGGGTGTTTCATGTAAACTATGTGTAACACGTCATATGTTGCAGGGTTGGTGGGAACGCACAGAGAATCACTAACTGTATCCGGTCGTCACAAACGATGTGCGATCTCTCCACCGCCATGACTGACCCCAAAGCCTGCTACGTAGCTGATGTCCTATCTCAGCCCCCACAGGGGGCGACCTCTGAACTCTCCGAGTTTCCCCACAAAACCTCGCCAAAATTCTGCCCATACGATGACAGTAAGACCCTTTGATATGATTTTTTATAAATCAGAATAACATAGAAATGAAAGCATGCCCGGGAGAGTGCATGAAGCCAGCGCAGGAACAGTTTAACATGGTAACACACCCGCTCTCATGGTCGCCCTCAGTGAGGATGATGCAAAGAAGTCTCACCGTCACACTCACAGGGCTGTTTCCATCATCGGTCCCTGGATCTGTAGACTTTCACAAAGTTGTTGCCCATCCAATAAAGAAATGCCGTCACAGTTTCTCTGTCATCAGGCAGCGGTCTCAAAGCCGAGGTCACCCCTACCTCTGCGCTTGACCTAAACAGGAACACAATGACAGCAGCGCTGCTGCTCGTGTCACACAGACAGGACCCACGTGTTTATTTAGTCGTCCAGTGAACGGCTTCAGAGGAAATAAAGTTTAGTCTTGTTTTACAATGTTCGAAAAGTAAACAAACAAACACTCCTGTTTTCTTGTTTTGTACTACTTGAAGTGTCCTCCAATGAGACGACAGTGTCCGCAGTGGCCCGCAGTGTGACACCCGGTCATCAGGGGTCGTTGTGTCTACAGGTCCAGAGAGCAATGTTAACATAAGCAGATTATTTATGTGATCATTCAGCAAACTCAAAGAAAAGCTGATCATTTTATGTCAACACATAAGCTGTTTGTTGAAGCTGTCATTCTCATTTAGTTCAGTGTAATATTGGAAGGTTAACAGAGACTTCAGTCATCACAGGACACACACGTGCATATCCAGCAGTTTAAAAATACTTCTCCTCCACAGCTGAACTCGACAGGCCCAAGTTCACGCTGGAGGTCAGTGAAGGCAGCGCCACCCTGAACGTGACAGACTCGCCCACTGCCATCGCCAACGGTCACCACCTGCAGACTTTGAGGGACATCTTCTCTGAGCGGCTGCACTACAGAGTCACCTACTGGAAGAATAAGAGCACTGGCAAAGTGAGGAGCACCCACCACAGACTGACAGCACAACAGCAGTCTTTAACATACGTGAATGACATCACGGGCCGTTCCCTTCTGTTGTCCACAGAAAACATCCAACTACAACACAAGTATGATAAAGGTGACTGGCCTGGATCACGGGGAGAGCTACTGCTTCCAGGTCCAAGCCTACATCCCCAGCCGCACTTATGGCAAGCAGCTGGGAGACCTGAGTGCCCCGCAGTGCTCAAAAGACGAGAACCAGACCATCATAGAAGGTGAGCTCTTTATTTCAGCGCAGCACTGACCACGAGCTGCTGACCACGAGCTGCTGACCACGAGCTGCTGACACAGCAGCGGTACAGCAGGATGTGATTTATTTGACTAACAATCGTCTGCAGAAGCCTGTTGACTTGATGAGTAACTTATCATTTTGTGAGGTGAAAATAGAGTTTTCACGAACTCTGTGTTTATTTTTGATGCGGAGGAGATCACTAACTGTTAAGGTTGCAAAAGCTCTGTAAAGTGTTTGAACACTGGGCCAGGCTTTCTTCTCCGGTGTGTGTCTGTGTGGGTGGGAAGCAGCTGGGAGACAGAGGTGAGGCACTAAATCGTGCCTGGATCTGATGGTGTTTATTACACGACTGTGACTCCAGTTCAGTCTACAGAATAAGAGGGCGGGGCCAAAATACCAGAGCTTGCACACAATGCTGTGGTGCTGGGATGTCTGCCTTTGGGACAGGGGGCGCTCCAGGACCCCAGCACATCCACTTCCCACGGCCTCGTGCGGATGTGCGTCCAGAGCGTGTACATCCGTCCGTAAATATTTGGACTATAAATTCACAGCATGTTTATTTATTGTCTGTGTGAAACAGGTGGTCGTCAAGCACCTCCAGAGTTCTTCATGACTAAAACAACATTACATCTACTTTTAATCCAGTTTTATTTATACAACACGTGACCTCAGTGTGCTTTGTATGTGAACAATAACACAAACGTGTTAAAGTGAGCGTTGGTAGTAACGCAAACAAAAACAAGGACATCAGGATGTTTCCCCTCAGACTGTGAAACCTGTGAAAAAAGCACTTTCATTACTCTGAAGCTGTTTGTGATGAACTACAGCTGCAGTGTGCCGTGGCTGCACCGATTCTTAATAGAAATCCCACAGCGCCCCCTACAGGAAGCTGCTACAGTAACAGGCAATAACCCCACACGGAGCCACGTCACTGTGGACTGTCTGTCTGCAGATGTTATTCTGAATTAGCAAACAGTGAAAGTAATCACATTACTCATCACTTTGTTTTGTTTTCAGAGTAATGCGGTATTAATTAGTAAAGTTAAACCAAGTGTGTGAATACGTCATTAATCCTCCGTGGTCACAGCGTCTCCACAGCAGCAAGAACAGTGACTAAATAAATAATACAATATTTTACAAAATATAACAAAACGGCTCTAATTACTGGAACATTGATAGGTATGTACAAATATCATTACCTATGGATAATAATAATGCATTGCATTTATAAAGCGCTTTATTCATCCACACACTGGTGGAGGCAGCTACAGCAGTAGCCACATCGCGCCATCGGCCCCTCTGGCCAACACCAGTAGGTGAAGTGTCTCGCCCAAGGACACAACGACCGAGACTGTCCGAGCCGGGGCTCGAACCGGCAACCGTCTGATTCAAGACGAACTCTCAACTCTTGAGCCGCGATCGCCCCGTTTGTTGAGCGGTTTGTTGAGTCTGCTGGCGTCTGTGAGCCTCCACAGAGGATGGCGCCGACCACAGAGACTCACAGAACATGCTGAGCATTGTCCGACAGATGTTGAAGGACCTCAGAGACGACTGGCCCGTCCTCTAGAGGGCGGTGGTGCTTCTAACCCAGTCCAGGTGTTTTCTGTGTGTACTCTGAGGCATTTATGCTCCTCCACGACGTCCACATCCACCTCCTGGACTGAAACAGGTCACAGGTTTCTTGGTCCTCCCACAGTCCACAGTCTTTGTCACGTTGAGCTGCAGATGATTCTGCTCACACAGCATGCGTGTGACTGTTACACGGTTCAAACACCACACAGAGTCTGCCTGTGAATTTGTGTGAAAAGCTTCAGTGTGGCTTGTACTGTAGTCCTAAGTACTCTGAGTACTTAGGACTACAGTACTGTATAAAAGCCAGCCCATCCGTACTCCCGTGTGGGTCACTGCTTAGAAATGAGCAGTAAAGCTTTGGTGTGACAGACTGTGTTGTGTTTTCCACAGTGTATTCTCCTGCAGTGATCATTTCTGCCATCATCCTCATCCTGCTGCTCACCGGGATCATCATCACCGTCACAGTGGTGTGCTGCAAGCGCAAGAAAAAAGCTGCAAACGGTGAAAAGAAGGGCGTAGTATAACGTATGTGCTTCACTGCACATCTCTGGCGGTACGTTGAACTGGACACACGGACATATGTCGCTCAGCATTCCTCAGCCAAACACTGGACTTTCATTTAGTTTCTGTGAAACAACCTTATTTTTGACACTGGGAAGATGGGAAAACTCTGCTGAAGCCCTGCTACAGTATGTACTGACACTGCAAATACTGCATCTCCTTTCCTGGTGCCTGTGACTACTATAGTAAAATATAACAGCTTATTTTATTTAATTTACAGTCTGCTGTGTAAATGCAAATCATTCTTAGACTGTAGTGGGGATTTTACCTTGAAACACATTTTTATGGAATCAAAATGTAGGATGTATATTTTTGTATGTGGTGTATTTATTTTATTGTGTTTAACTGATATTAAAGACAATAAACATGTTACTCCTTACGTTTGTGCATGTAACTGGTAACAGCAGAGCATCGCTGGGCTTTGGTGGTCATCAGCAACACAACAACATTCAGGGGTCAGCGTTTTGCTGGACGCTGTCTGAGCTGATGCAGGATGAAACCCAGCGCTTGGCTCAGACCATCAGTTTAATACATTTGCTGCAGCAGGCTGGATGTGTCACGTTGTTTATTTACAGATAAATTATAAACAAACACCTTCATTATGTGTTGATTTACTCAGTGCACGTGTTTCTTTTTGTTAGTTTACATTTTCCTGGTTCATTTCTTCACCAGGTTAAAACGGCCGTTTATTATAATGTTACAATCCATGTTAAAATGTAAAATAAGGACGGTTAAAGGATTTAGACAGATATGGAATTTCTTGGAATATGTTTAACGAGTTTTCAAAGAGCATTTAAAATGTATATGGTCCATTTTGACCAGCATCCTGTTTTATTGTGAAAAGCTCATGATTGTAAGAGGAAGTGAATGTGTTTGTGATCAGTTGCTGAGAAAAGCTGTGAGGAAAGTACGAGATGTTAGTCCAAGTGTGTAATTGTGTACGAGCCGGACTCTCTGCTGGTCTTCGTCAGTCGCTGCGAGCAGCTGCTCACTCTCGTTTGAGCATCAAGAGCCTGAAACATCCTGAACATGTCCACTGATGACTCCTTCACACGTAACTCTTATGATCTAGTCCCATTTCTCAGGGCTCATGCTGCTCCATGTGACTGTCTCAGCCACAGATGACAGCTGCAGACATAAAGCTACAGAAAAATGACCTGGTAGCTCACAGACATCATGTCCTCCACCCTCTGGAGACATCAGAGCCTATAGAAGCCATGTCTAATATGAGTCCAAGTTTGACGTTTAAAAGACGTCCACAATGACCACACAGGGACTGTAAATAGCCGCACACGGAGGTGCTACGGATGTGAACACTAGACTAGAGATGGACCGATCCGATATTACGTATCGGTCCGATACTGACCTAAATTACTGGATCGGATATCGGAGAGAAATAAAAAATGTAATGATCCATTAAATATCAAACAAGCACCTCACAGAACTTGCGACATGGCGTAACTCGGCTCATAACCGTAGCAGTGTGGTCATGTGGCTGTGTGTATTAGCCTCAAACCAGCATTTCATCTCCGAGGAAGTTACCCCAGAGAGAAGTAAAGCAAGTGTGTAAGTCCATCTCTGAGTGTTTGTAAAGCTTAACAACCGATATATGGAGCGACTGCCTCTCCTGCTGCTACTTCAATCGTGAAACTGATCAATGATCAGCTGATCGGCTCTCTGGTTTGTTTTTGGCCCACTTTGCAGCAGAAAGAGGAAACCAGCGGCTGAACAACAGCAGCACGTTTAAGCTTGATCAGCTGTTGTTAGAATGTATTTAATATTACTTTCTACTCCAGGATCTTTTTCTACAGCTGACGTAACTGTGCAGGGGCGGATCTAGCAAAGTTTAGCCAGGGGGGCCGATAGGGCATGAACAGGGGAACCTTTTCTTTCTTATTCACATTTAAAATGTTGAGCTTTTAATCAATAATTATCTGAATCTTACACCCAAAGTTTTAATCTGCTGTAAAATATATAGAAGTCCATCACTGTATATAGTAACTGTTAAGTCTAATATACTCTAGTAAGCTGTAGTACTTTTTCCTTTGGGAACCATCTGTGCTGTTCTGTAGAAGAAAGATGTTGAATCTATTTAATTATTCTTGAAAAATAATTGATTTCTGTGCATGTTTTTCACACTGCATCAAATTAAGGTTGATTACGTCGATTAAGCATCATGAGGTGGAGCGTGAGGGGTGGTTCCCTATTTTTTTATTAGGTTATTAGGTTGCTTAATATTTCTGCTAAGTACTCTTTAAAATATTAGGGTAGGGAGGATGGAGCAGGTTTAAGTTCATTAGATTGATCAGTGTTGCTGAACTATGATATATTTTGGGTGCAGTGTGTTTTTTGCATACAGGAGTAACAGAATAGCTTTAGTGTTGTTGTTTATTTACACTAGAGTATGAACTCATACAAAAAGCAGCACGATATTAAAAAACAGTTTTATTGATTAAAAACACTATATCGGATTCATCAGTGGGACTGGACTCCATATATTACAAAGACGTATTAGGGACACATTAAGAGAAAAATGTTGTCAATCGTTCTGAGAAAAAAGTAGAAAGTGTATTTCAAGAAAACAAGTACTTCTATTACTTTGTGCTAACATACTGATTCCAGAGGGAACGTTGCACATGTTCTAAAGAACAAAGCTTTGACGTCAGCCGCAGTCAGGTAGCTTCATTATAGATGATTATCACCATCATCATCATCAATCACAGCATCTGATCGATAACTGATCAGGAGCCGATCAGTGCTTAATTATTTTTAAACCGTCTGTGACTATGAATGTGAAACTGAATTTACATTAAATTTGTTTAACAAAAGCAAAGAAAACAATGCTGATGGTTCCAAAATAGTAACGAGGACGTTATTCTTCACACAGGCTGCTTTTCTGTAACCGAAGCAACAGTACTCAACAAAGTAACTGCAGTGTTATTGCAGCACCTTTAACTTACAATATAAAGTGCCCTGAAGCGGCTGCTGTTGTGATGTGGCATCATATATGTTTCCCTACATATTCATATGCAGGTATGTACACATACACGCTGATCTATTCATAAAGATTAGAAGTGAAAAGCATTACATTTGAAACTGTTATTGATTAAACAGCTGTTTACTTTCACAATAATTAAAAGTTGTAATTAAAATGAAGGTTTTATCTTTACAGAGTGCCAGAGTACATGACACAAAGCTGTGCAGCACATGAACAAACATGGCTGTTCCTGATGGTTACCGATCTCTGCGGCCTCAGACTTTGCGTTTTGGCAGCTCAGCCTGGTAAACACATTTCCCATCTGTCTGCATGTAACTGACTGTCATCTGACGCTCAGTCACTTGGAAGAAAGCCACGCCTCCTGCTGTGTGATTGACAGGACTGGAAAAGAGCTGCCAGGACGGAGGGACACTGCTGATGTGACGAGTGGAATGGTCACTGACCATCCCACTCCCGCTGACAACATAGGAGCTCCCATCATCCTCTCTGATGAACTGTTGGAGGAGAGAACAGAGAAACTGCGTCTTCTTTTGATGGGTTGGATTGTCACACTTTCTACACAAAGATCAGGAACTAGCATCTCTTTGTTTAACATTAATATGATCTCCTCTGGTTTGGGCCACAGAAACTGATCAGCAGTCAGAAACACTTGGTCAACACATCATAGCACAGGACTGGTTGTCCCAGCAGGTCAGTGCGATGGACTGAATATAATGGAGACACTTCACTCCCTTGCTTTAACTGGTGAACGTGATGTTCTGTATGTGAACACACCTGCAGATCATGATCATGGCCACACAGGTAAACGGTGACTCCGTACTTCTTCAGCAGAGGCCGTAGTTTGTCGACTAGACAGGCTGTAGGTCCGTGATTGCCAATAGACCACACAGGATAATGACCAGCCACCACCACATAGTCAGACCTGCACAAGCCAGACAGCCTTTAAACTCCCACACAGAGGGACCAGCAACACCAGCAGAGCTAACTGGTTTAAACTGCTGGGTGTATGTTTCCCTCTCTTTGATGCTCTTCTTTATTTGGTTTTCTGTACACTGTATATTTATTTAAATCCTCATTCTGCGTAATATTTGTCACACAGTTGTATATCAAACCTTTAATAAATCACAAATGTATCTTTGTATTGAGTGACATCTGTGCAGATAACTGGTCAAACGAATCTGTGTTTGAATCACCTGCTGCTGGCCAGTTTAGCACTGATCCAGTTCCACTGGTTTGCTGCTGCCGTGGAGTCTTCTGGTCCCACAGGCTGGACCTGGTCATTGGTGTTTCCACAGAGCACCACCGTATCAATCATCAGGATGCTCACTGACACGTTTGTGTGTGGAACAGTAAACTGAAGATCGTAATAAAGAGCTGGGTAATTCCTACAGAGACAACACATCATAACGTCCAAGCAACACGGAGGTCTGGACCCTTGAATCATCTCAGTTATCACAGAAACGAGTGTACAAAACATCAGAGCACGTTTCAGCAACGTCTGAAACACGATTTTAATGCAAGTCACATGATAAGTAGTTCAGGTCAAAGCTACAGGTGTAAGAAGACTGACCTTCTCACTCAAACCTTGTCTGTATTGCTTGATATTTACCATCGGTGGGATATGTTAGAGTAAGCCATTTGTGCTGAGATGTTGCCGATATGGTCGTGGTTTCCAGCAGTTAGGTACCACTGTATATCCAGTAGAGATGGCTGCGAGAAGACACCTTCAAACGTGTTCTGTGGAGGAGAAATACCTCACAGTTTATGTCTGTGTAGGCTCTCAGTCCAGCTCATGGTAGTCTAAGAAGCTTTGAAAGTACTGGACTCCTTCTGTTTCACCTGTCATCAAAGAAGCTTCTGCAAGTCTAAAACCTGAGGTATTTAAACCCAAGAGAGTCCCTGACCCACTGTGGATTTATTCCACAAACATGAGTGTGCCATGGGCTCCCCAGTGTCACCCATTATAGCCAAGCTTTACATGGAGGAAGCGGAAAATAAAGCACTTAGCCACTGGCACAGATACGAGGATGACACCTGGGTCAAAATCAGAACCCAGGAAGTAGAAGCCTTCACTGCTCACATGAGCTCTGTGGATAGAAACACACCAGGGCAAAGGATAACTGTTCACTGTTTCTGGACTGTGCCGTGCACACGGAGGTGAACGGAAACCTCAACACTGACGTTTACCAGTTTACCAGGACATCTGCATCTCAAGGACAAAGGTCTTTCGAGGATGTCAGTGTTCACATTGTGGGCAGAGAGTTATCTATGTCCACTGTGAATAATCATCTTTAAATAAAGGCTGCCTTACATCACCAACTGTCTGCTGGCTACGATGCAGTTTCTCTTCCAGGTGCCTGACATTTACATCAGG